AAAACACGAGGCTGGGAGATTATATATAAGTTTTAAAATCGTGGTTGTGAACCACGATTCACTTAATGAAAAAAATTTTGCCAAAAACCGTGGTTTAGAAAAGCGATTTTAGAACAAAATTTTTTTTGATAAAATCGTGGTTTCAGAACAAAATTTTTTTTGGATAAAATCCTGGTTTGTAACAGCGAGTTCAGAAGAAAAAAAAATAATTAAAAGCGCGTTTTGTAACCACGATTCCTTAATCAAAAGCGCTTTTTGTAACCACGATTTTAATACTTCCCTAATTTCACGCGGGACAGGCGTATATATGTTGAAATCGTGATTGTGAACCACGAGTTAGCTTATTTTGGAAAATCTTTCAAAACTAGGCTTAGTTTGGGAATTGATTTACTATTTTGACTTATTTAGGGAAATGCCCCGGACACATGTCCTATTCCGTCAAAACCAACATAAGAATGATAGGCCTACTATTTTAGCTAATAAAATAAAAGTTAGGACGCCACATGGATTGCATCAAGGTAGGGCTGTAAATGAGCTGAGTATTAAATTATTCAAACTTTAACTTGAAAACTTAATGAAATTTAAAAATGTGTCAAAGTTTGATTTGTTTATATAACACACTGATATTAAACGAACTTTTAGCAAGCTAAACACTAGTCAAATTCAAATAATTTTATTTTAATGATGTATATAGGTTTATCGAGCTATGCAATAACAAATTTTAATATATGTTAATGTTAAGTTATTTACACAATGAATGAATTTCAAATAAACTTTGCGTAAATTACACTTTGTTCCTTTATGTTTGGTCACTTCTTTACTTTAGCCCTTAAAGTTTGTTTTTCTCACTTTGACTTTTTATGTTTCAAGTTTTTTTCAATTTACTTCTAAAATTAACTTCTGTTCAAAATTAGATAGAGAATCATACATTAGCAGTTGCATCATATAAAAATATTTTATTATATATAATATAACTTACACTCTAATTCAAAATCAAACCCCAATACAATAATTTTTATGTTATGCGATAGTTATTTTCTATATAATTTTGAATATAAATTAGTTTAAGGAGAAAAAAATAAAAAAACTTAAAACATGAAAAGTTAAAGTAAAAAAAAATAAAAAATGACTAAATATAAAAGGGCGAAATATAACTTATCATAAACTTTTATGGGCGAATTACGCTAATAATTCTTATAATTTGGGGCTCGTGTCACTTTAATCTCTAACTTTTCAATTGTAACACGTTTGACCCTGAATTTTGAATCTTATTCTAAATAAGGACAATTGAAGACTATTGCTCAATTTCAATGACAAAATCATCAATTTGATATAAAATAAACTAATTTGACAAAAATAAATGTCAAAAAAAATATTTTTGAATTTTTAAAAATTATTTCTACCCATCAAAGATAAAATTATATAAAATTGATAAATCTTTTATCCATTTATTTATGTATTTATTTTACCAAATCAATTTTTATTATGTGTTTAGATGATGATCATGTAATGGGTAGTTGCTAGGCTTCTAATGTGTAATCGATATAATATATGAAATTTTTTTAGTTTTAGATTTTTTGATTTAGGCTTCGTTTGGAAAGTAGGGTTGGGGCTATTTTAGTCACAAAAAGACAAAATTGACTTTTTAGTTCAATAAGACAAAACATCACATCCAACTCATAATCATTACATTCTTTCTCTCACAAAAAGTCAAAAAAGCCAAAAAGTCCTTCCTAAACGAGATTTTTTAGCCCCAGGCTAAAATAGCAAAAAAGTTAACTCACTTCCCAAACGAACCCTTAATAGATTGGTTTAATAATGATATCAAAGTTATGATCATATTTGACTTTTGAAACTAATTTAATGAAAATAAAAGGGCAAATTACCTACACCTCCCTTGAGGTTAGCTAAATTACAGATTCCTCTGAAGTTTCAGAAATTACATCCCGCCCCTCGATGTTTATATTCGCATAACAATTTAACCCCTACCGTTAACTAAGCGTTAAGAATGGTTAGCTGACATCACCAAAATATAAATTGATAGACAATATTGCCCATGCAGAAATCCTTTTAATAAATCAATAAAATTTACAAAAGAATTACGTTAGATGGGGAAAAAAAAATAGTTTTTGGAACCATGTTTGATTTGTTAATTAGAGAAAAAAAAATTCAAAATTAAAAAAAAAACTAATTTAATAAAAATAAATATTAAAAAATATATTTAATTTGTAAAAATTATTTCTAACCACTCAAAAGATAAAATTATATAAAAATAATAATTATTTTTTATTTTTTATTTCTTAACCAAATTAATTTTTAATTTTTTTAAAAAAAAATTTAAAAAAATTTCTAAAAATCAAATCAAACATATTTTAAGAATTTTTTGACAAGTCATTTCTTGTGATTTTAACTTATTTAATTATTTGTTAATTTTATGATATTTTCACCATCTGACACTACAACATATAAGAGTTTTAAAGACCAATTTTTTTAATCTATAAAAGTGAAAATTTTGTTGTAAAAGACATTTAGGGACTAATTTCAATCGTCGTGAGGATAGTTGCTAAAAGGTCACCCTCAAAAGTGAAAAAATAAGGTTTTTAGCAATAAAATTTTGAAAATATCAATAATAAATTGACTTTTAGGGATAAAATAATTTGGTCTCAAAATGGTTTATTTTTTGAGACAAAAAATTTGATATCAAAAAGATAATAATTAATCACTAATGTTCTATTTTCGTTACTAAAAATATAATAATGACACTTTTCGCAACAAAAATATTTGATTCCCTAAAAATAATTTTATCCCTAAATTTTGGTCTCTAAAACCTTAATTTTTTTGTAGTGTGAGAAGTGTTTTTTATTTTAATTTTGCATTTCATAACTTATTTAAAAATGATAATTTAGTTAAACCTCATCGGGAATCTGTAATTTAGCTAAATTTCAGGAGAAATCTGTAATTTAGCTAAATCTCAAGGGGGTGTAGGTAATTTGCCCTTATTTGTCCAAAAGGTATTTTTTTTAGTCAATTTATGACATTCGTTAACGGTGTTCATTGCGATGGGACGAGATGCATTTTTTGAAACCTCATGGGAGAATCTGTAATTTTGTTAAATCTCAAGAGAGGTGTAGGTAATTTGTCCAAAATAAAAATAATCACCCATTACATGATCATCATCCAATATATAATAAAAATAATTTGGTAAAAAAAATAAATAAATGTGTAAAAGATTTATTAATTTTACATAATTTTATCTTTGGTCGGTAGAAATAATTTAAAAAAATTTAAAATTATTTTTTTGACATTTATTTTTGTCAAATCAATTTATATTTTATTAAATTGACGACTTTGCCATTGAAATTAAGCAATGGTATCTTCAATTGTCCTTATTTGAAACAAAATTTAAAATTTAGGATTAAATGTGTCACAATTGAAAAGTCGAATATCAAAGTAACATAAGTCCCAAACTATAGAGACTATTATTGTAATTTGCCTAACTTTTATTGAATCGAATAAAAGTCCATTCCTAATAATTTGATTTGTTTAATGTGTTAGATTAAAGTATCTCCTACGGTAATAGACATTTTACCTATCTAAACATTATCATAAAATACGCATTTTATTTTATCTATCAACTGTTTCATGTTTCTATTTCAACCATACTATTTATTTTAGTTATTTATTCAAATACTATTAATTTTATAAAATGTCACATCAACAACAAAAATCGAGAAAAATGATAAATGATTAAATACATTTTATCTAGTCTTGAAAACTGACTAGCTATATGTAGCTAGGGAAGGTGAGTTGAACAAAAATGTCTAATTATATATCTAATGTATTAGAGTTAAAAAAATAAGTCATATTAGACATTTTAATTAACAAATATTATATGAATTATTTTGAAAAGATGGTTATAATCAATTTTTTAATTAAAAACTGATTATAAATTGATTATAATTAATTTTTTTGTGAAAAAAAAAAAAATTTAAGAACTTTTCAAAAGAACTCTATCTCCAATGCAGTGAAGATGGTTTAGAACTAAAATAAAAATAAAAATGTTAGATTATTGTATACACGTTCACTGATGGCTGGAGCCTTCCCCTGCGTCGAATTTTCACATCCAGCCCAATCGTCTCATTCCCCCACTTTCTCTCACTTTTCACTTTCACTCTCTCTTTCTCCGTTCCTCTGTAGTCGACGCTTCAATTTTTACTCTACAGTCCTCGTTTTTGAATTGATATTTGATATTCTCCCTATTCCCTTTAAAACCCTCCAAATCTCTACACCATCGGTCCTAATCCACAACCACAGGTACACTAATTCCCATGTTCATTCATTGTTTCCTCTCTTTCCCTCTCTTGCTCTCTCTCTCTCTCTCTTCTCTCTTTTAAACCGTGAATCTCTCTCTCACTCTTAGCAACTCAACTTTTCTTGCATAAATCTCTAGATCTACTTGGTTAGAAACATCTTTTCACCTTGGTCCTTCGAGAAAGATTGTAGATCTCGTCAAGGGTTTTCTTTTGATCCAAGGGTTTCGTGGTTTCATCGACTTTAAGTTTTTCCTGAGTTCTTCTCTTCGCTTCAAGAGGTAGGGTCAATTTCCTAAACTCAAATGAGTTCGGTAGCATATTTGTGACTTATTTTTGTTATTTATATTTGGTAGTCATTTGGTTAATCCTGAAATGTTATTGTGGGTTGAGGGTTTGTACAAATTAGGGGTTATTTGATTATGATTTTGCTATTAAATCTATTTTTGGTAAACAAACTTGCATTTGATTTTTTAAAAGAGAAAAACCCCAATTTGTAGAAAAACCCTAAACGATATTGTTTTGGGAGTTGAAATTTTTTTATTTTTTATTTGGTAAATGACTTGGTTGGAAGAGATAGAAAGGGAATGACTGTTGGATTTTGAAACAATGGGTGTTATTACTCTTTTCGAAAAATATATCTGTATTGTTATCTTTTAACTATTATGTTAGACTGTTTTGGCTATTAGTGAACTACATGAAATGGAAAAAACTATACATGAGATAGAGAGGAAGATGGAAGAGAAAGATAGAGAGCTACATGCAATTAAATTAGACAATGAAGCGGTTCGTAAGCATTTTTTTGCTATAATTGTATATTGGTATGTCATTGTAGCATGTGTTGATTCACATGTTGAATGCAATAATTTTTCTCTATTTTGGTAGGCATGGGCTAAGGAAGATCTCCTTAGAGAACAAAACAAGGAATTGCAGACCTTTCGGTATGTGTTTCGGTCCCAAAGATTGCTACTTTAAATGTAGTCTGTACAAGTATAAGAAGCTCAATGAAGAGTAAATTCAAAGAAGTTTATAAACTAATCATTTGGTCATTTGAAGGGTGATGCAGAGTATAAGAAGCTCAATGAAGAGTAAATTCAAAGAAGTTGTGATATTTGGAAATTGACAAGATTTCAAAGAAAAAAAGTGATAGGAACCATTCATAATTATGTTTCTAGTATTATTGGAGTCTTATTTTATGATTAGTTTATATTTTCTAGGATTTTTATATCAAGGGTATTATGGTAAATTTAATATTTGCTGACATGGGTTGTGGGGGGTTGTTTATAGGTCATCTTGTGGGTTAAGTTTCTAATGTAGTTTTAAAAGTTAAAGATATTTTAGTAGTTTCTTTTTTTGGTTAGAATAATACTAGGGACATGAAAAAATATCATGAAATACTTCATGAAAATTTTTCATCATTTGATTAGTGTGGTGTTTTATTGTATGTGTAATTTAACGGAGGAGAATCTTTTGTTATCATCTTCATGATATTTTTTTCATGATCCCTAACATTACTCGGTTGGTTATAGTTGATTTAGGAAGTCTCAAGTTTATATAAAGTCATGTAATGATTATAATTGATAGAGTTGATATTTTAAAATTTTTTGAGAGCTTTGAAGCTGCTTTGGGTTTGTGTGATGCAACCCTAACCCTAGGTGTGATGCCCATGGAATCTAGGTGCGATGCCTAGATATATCTTCTTCTCTTCTTTCTTCTTTTTTGTTTCAATTTAGTGTTTCCGGATTATTATTCACAGCTCTTTAAAAGTATACTTTTCAATCTCAAAACTCGTTCCAATCACCTCCAAATCAACCATAATCCCTTTCCCTACCTATTAGCCTTCAATTTAACCCTTGAAACCATAAATTACTCACCGTTTAGGCCTTCAAATCAAACAACCTTTGTTTTCAAAATCTAGCGCTGTCACTGCTTGTTTTGCATCAACTGAATCAATAAAAATAAATAGGCTCAATTACATTATAGCAGTCGAGAAATTTTCCTAAAAATAAGAAAAAAAATGCATATTGACTTTTATATCAAAAAATGTGTCTTAAAAGTAGTAAGAAAATAAACTTAAATTATAATGAAAAGAAGTGAAAGTATTGTGAAAATAGAATGCACCATGTAAGTATAAACATTGTACAATAGAAAGTTTGGTAGTAAAAATTTTATATTTCATAAAAAAATAGGTATAGAAGAAGAGTTTGTAACATAGCACTTGCACTTTACAATAGTAGCACAGAAAATTGAAGGCAACAAATTGTAAGCTAGGAAGGACAAATACGATAGGACAAAACTTTATAAAAGTAGGATATGGGTATGGATAGGATACGTTTGTAAAAAAGTTATTTTTAAACTGTTAGTAGTGAGTTACACATAAGCTCATGAATGTTAAGAAATCACATTGTAATTTTATAATGCAAAATACTAGTATTTAAGAACTAGGTCTTAATTTAAGTCATTAGCTAGTGTATTTCTTAAATTTCAATAGGTATTACAAATATTTCATTTTAATATCAAGTCCAATATATTTATATTACAATAGCAGAATAATTGACATGAACTTGTCCATGTACTTTTCCTTTTTACACTAGTAAAAATGTTGTATGCTAGTTTACTGGCTTATTTATTTATAGATATTTATTTTTACCTTTGTTATATTTGTTTGTTAATCCTTACTTTCTATGTAGTTATATGGAACATGCATGATACAATAAGATATGCCAATTTGACAAATTTTATTACTTTTAACTCAATATGTTCTTATTATCAAAGAACTAAGCAAAGTATTGGAAAAATATTATTATATTTATCCTCACAATTAAGGTATATCATAATACTATGCAGGAAATGTTACAATTCTAATTTTGTAAAACAAGTAATACTTGACTTGGAGTGTATGATGTTTCAAAAATTAGTATCCAATACTTCAAAATTAATGAAAAATTAAGAAGTATTCGATACTTTTAAGAAGTATATGGGAATATCGGTATCCAATGCGGAAAGTATCCATGCCTTATAGATTTTTAGCAATGTTTATGTCAAAATAGATTGAAAACTTGAGAAGAGAAATAAATATAAAAAAAAGATATGCTTGTATTTCATAAAGCAGTTTGTATTAGTTGCTTACAAAAGTGGCTATAAATTAAGCAAAAATAAATTAAAAAAATAAAGTGACAGCTTGTTGAATGAGAGCTCTCTGATAAAAAAGAAAAAAGAAAAAAAAAGGAGCAGATTGAGAAAAAGGAAAAGGGTTCTATGAGAGAGAGAGAGAGAGAGAGAGAGAGAGAGAGAGATATGCTCAAATTGTAGTGATTTTTATTCAACTTTATAGTTTTTTTAAATTATGATGATACAATATAACCTTTTTAAAAAAAATTGTTTGGACTGCGTAAAATTGGTATTTAGGCCACAAACATTTAAAAAAAAACCATATACAAGGCAAAACTAGGCTTAAAAATAGGAGCGGGGAGAATTGGACCAAAACTGAGATTCCATGATCCAACCATAGTTATCAATCGAGAATTGTATTCCGAATCAAAACCCTAATTTTTTAAACGGGAATTGAATGGAATTGAGAATAGCAAAGATTCAGTACAAAATATGAAAGATGATGTTACGATTGTACATATATGAATTAAATCGATTTTGGCATATGTTATAAAAGAGTTCTCATGTCATCTAATTGGGAAGACATTAGCTTCATATCAAGAGATGTGGGTCCAAATCACACCAACTAAATAATTATTCGACAACCATATATTCTCTCTTGACATTAAAAAAATGGGCGTAGGAGTCGTATAAGTATAATACGATATGAGAGAATTAAGTGAAATCTTTAGTTTTAAAACCCAAAATACTTTAGAAGGGGTTTATCTATGAAGCACGGATACTTCAAAAAGGGTGACGTATCCGTATCGGATACTTATCGGATACCGATACTCCTCGGATACTCGCGGATACTTCTTAAAAGTATCGAATACTTCTTAATTAATTTTTTATTAATTTTGAAGTATCGGATACTTAATTTTGAAGTATCGGATACTCGAAGTTACATATTACTTATAATATTTTGTTTAGTTCTTTCATAAGAGGAATATAGTGAGAGTTAAAGTAATAAAAAGTTGTATTTTGTAATTTATCAAAAAAAAAAAGTTCTATCATGTCATTTTCACTAAAAAAATTAAGTAAAAAAAGGTCGAAATCGGTTGGATACAATGATTTCAAGCATTGTATGAATCGAGAGAAGTGAATCGAATCATGAATCGATTGTGAATTGTGCGATTTATTATAGATTCAATCCCACAATAGATTCATCCATAGATTCGTCTTGATTTTTGAAAAATTGCGAATTGAATCATGAATGAAATCTCGAATTGTAGGATTATGATAACAGAGGATCCAATTATTAGGATTGAAAGATGGTACATGCAAGGGATTTTCTACATGATCCCATGTCAATTTTGTTCAAATGGATCATAAGATCCAGATAAGGATTTTAACTACTATGTGATGTATATTTGTGTTTGCACTCAAAATATTTTAACAGTTAGTATGAATTAAATAAATAAATTTATTCCATATGAGATGAAATGGCCTAACATTCTGTGTTTTTGCCTTCTTGCCATCCTAATATAGTAAAATACATGTAGCAACTATGGTTCATTGTTACACGGACTCTTCAAAATAGATCAAATACCCATGTCAGACACCCGACACTCAGACAAGGGTATGAGATATGTGTCGGATATTTTTCAACGGATACTTCTTATATAATTGTATATAGCACAATTATTATATGTGCATATTATTGTATAATTACTATAAATGTCATTTTGATATTGTAAGTTACATATAGTACCATTTTATCTCACATATTAGATTAAAAATATAAAAATATGATATTTTTTTTCCGAGTCCGCGTACCCTTAAATTTAAGATTTAATGAGTCCGACCTGTAGATACATACCCGCACCCGACACCTGTACCAGAGTCCATGTAACATAGGTTCATTGTCATCATTTATAAATCTTGAAGACTTGTATCAGTTAGGGATTGTTTTGCGGGTTTGGGTTTTGTGGATGTAATATAATGGGGTACATCTGGTTTTTGCAGGAGAGAGCGTGATAACTGTGATGCTGAAAGAACTCAACATCTTCAACAAATACATGAAATTCAAGAACATATGCAGGAGAAAGAGAGGCAGTTCCTTGAGTTGCAGGAACAGGTTTGTTAAGTTCTATGTTCCATTCCATTTGTTTATTTAATGATATAATGAAATGGAAGCTACATTTTGTAGTATCTTAAACAGGTTTTGGTAATTTGTTATGTTTTTACATTTTAATCATGTGTTATTGAAAATTCACTTAGGCAGTATGAAAAGGATGTGGGTTGTTTGGAATAGACGTTTTATGACATTTATACATTGAATTTGGCATGCTTGGAGATTTCCCTCTGATGTGCTTGTTGCTGCAGAAGCATTGACTCTATTGCCAACAATATTTTCTTGTTGGGGGCCAATTTAATTATTTTGTCATCCCATTGGATTTTTTGGCATGCATTTGGAGGTACATTGTCTAATATTGTCTTTATCTTTCAGCATAGGGTTGCTCAGGAAACCATCCTTTTTAAAGATGAACAGTTGAGGGAAGCTCAAGCTTGGATTACGCGTGTCCAGGAGATGGATGTGTTGCAATCAACTACAACTCACTCCCTGCAAGCTGAATTGCGAGAGCGAACAGAGCAATATAACCAGCTTTGGCTTGGTTGTCAGCGACAGGTTGTTTACCTGCAAAAATAATCTCTAAAGTTGACTGTGGACTTTAATTGCTTTACTGAATTGTGCATTGTTTTAAAATTTATTTGCGTAAATGAATGGAAGCTTGGCTATATGCCAGTCAATGTGGTCCATTTCTGTTTGGCAGTCACCTTTCTACTTAAAGTCAAATTTCTTGTTGTTTCTCAGTTGATTTGTTAGCTTCATCGGTGAGAGATTTATTTTGATTTGTATGTGTTATCTCTGTTAGTTTGCTGAGATGGAGAGGCTTCATTTGCATACAGTACAACAACTCCAGGTTGAACAGGCTGATGCAAGAGAAAAGAGTGGAACTTATCCCGATGAATCACATGTATCCCAAACAAATTCAAAAGATGCTTCTCAATTTGGACAGAATGATGGAAACCAACTGGATGTTAATGGAATTGTCACACCAAGTGCAAATTCTGGGGTCCTTCCAAATGGAAATGTAGATAATGTTTCATCTTTTGTCTCAACTGGCAATGCTTCAACTCAGGTAGAATACTTTGTTTTTCATTGTTTCTTCCCCTGCCCTCCCTTTTCTTTGAAATTATCTTGCAAGTGGAAGTGCACGTTATGATAAACAATTTATGTAGTAAAACATTTTATGCACTTTTTTTTTTTTCATTTAGTGATCCATGTGCAACAGTCTTGAGTAATATATTGTGTTGAATCTTAGGTTCTTATTATGTGAGCACTGAGAGGCCGAATCTGCAGTTACCTAAACAAATTTTCTTTTTAAGTTGCACAAATTTCCATTCAGTTCTAACATTCTCTTAGGTAGTGAAACATAGAATGACAACTCCTAATTTTCCGTGTGTTTGTATATGGGGGCAAAAGAATTGTATGTGTTTTCATGAACAGGGTGAGGATTGTCAATGTTGATAATTTGTAAGCACATGTCTCAGGAATGACTTGTACGAACACGAGAAATGGATATGAGTCATGACAACTTTGAAAGAATCATGACACGACACAACAACAAATTACTATACATATTTTTATATATACATAATAATAACTTTTTCATTTCTTATGTTTTACATTTATATTTTATTAGATCAAGCTAGTGCGAATTTTTTTCCACACTCTATAATCCATGTACTTGAAAGGTTGAATGATCAAAAATTATAATTTTAATCTTACAGAGATTAAAGTAGGAGGAATTAATATATATTGATTCACACTGTTTTGATTTTAATCATTGACTAAGTTATTTTTTTTAGCATACAATGTGTTTTCTGAATTATTGTGATGGACATGTGTATTGCCTAATTGTCTGATGCATGTTTGGTTTTAATATGTTTTTAAAAGTAATTTGACAATTTGGATGCATGTTCCATGAGTAAGGGCATTTCAACACAGACACAGTATTTACTTAGAATCGGCCATGCTTCTTAGCACATGGTCATCATGTTTCTATATGCGAAGGCCACCAAATGCTGGTGACAATTGACATCCTACCTGTAATTTCTTTAAGTGGTTTTGTTTATTAATGAGTATCAATTCTAGAGCTATAGAAAAAATTTCAGGCCTGTAAAGCATTGATCTTCGTATCTAGTAATTCTTTAATGCATTGATCTTGATCTCCTTTAAGCATGACTTTGAATTAGTCAATAAAGCTGTTATATTTTAAATCTACGACGTAGCCCTATTACATAGGAAAATTATGCATGGATGTGGATTCACATTTCTACATAGACTTGTGTGTTGGGAGGGAGGGAGGGAGGGAGGGAGCAGTGTTTTTAAAGGCTCAAGGCGCACTAAGGCGCTGAAGGTCTCTCGGGGCCTAGGCGCAAGGCGAGGCGCGGGCTTTATTGAAGTAAGGCGCACAGTCTTTATAAAAAATAGAAAAATTAACATAGACTAATCATTCATAGTACTAAGATAATTTTTAAAAAAATAAAAAGTAATCAAGATTCAAGATTCAAGACAAAATATAGAATAATTCTCAAAGTTATGAAAGTGCATATTACATAACATTCCAATTTTCAAAGATTAAATAATCCACATTCAATAAAATAAAAATAAAAACATAAACAACATCCAAAACATAAATATTCAAAAAAGATCAATAGCATATTACAAATAATTAATTATTTGTAATTTTTTTTCCCTAACAGATAAAGAAAAAAAAAAAAGAATCAATAGCATATTACAAATAATTAATTATTTGTGAATAATTAATTATTTGTAATTTTTTTCCCTAACAGATAAATTATTCTCTTACATATTACAAATAATTTTTTTTTTCAATAGCATATTACAGATAATTTTTTTTCCCTAATTTTTGTAATTTTTTCCCTAATTTTATAATTTCAGAGACTCAACTCAAATAATTGAAAAAAGAAGAAGCAAAACAGAGTTGAAGTCGAAGTCTGAAGAAGGAGAGAGAGGAAGAGTCGAAGTCGAAGACCAAGTCGAAGCAAAAAAAAAAAAAAAAAAAAACAGAACTGAAAGTCGAAGCAGAACTGAGAGTCGAAGAAGAAGAAGGAGAAGGGGAGAGAGAGTCGAAGTCGAACAGACCTGCGAAGTCGAAGTCCCAAGTCGCAGTCGAAGTCCAGCTCCAGCAGTCGAAGTCGAAGTCGAAGTCGATTGCGAGGCGAAAGTGGAAGAGACAACTTCGATTAGGGTTCATCTAAGTCGTATTTGGCTCATATGGTACATGAGTTGTAATCCTCTGTGATTACGAGCCTTGTGAGAGCCTTTTAATCTAAGAAGCATGGACACGGACACGTGACACGACACGGATACGACACGGACACGCCGACACGCTAATTTTCAAAAAATGCAGGACACGACACGCTGGGGACACGCATGAAATATATAATTTTATATATTTATTATATGTTATATATATGAATATATCATTCAAAGATAATAAAAATATTAAATATGACAATAATTCTTATGAATTTATATAATTTTTGTTTTATTATTGTATCTTAAGTTGTTTTGTTCAAACTTATAATTGGTTTCACATGTGTCTAATTGATAGACACGTGTATTTAAGAGATACACATGTATTCTCCAAGTGTCCAAAGAGTGTCCGGGTCTTTAAAAAATAGGACACGTTTTAAAGAGTGTCAGACACGTGTCGGGAAAGTGTCCAAAGAGTGTCGGTGTCCGACACGGATACGTTACCTTCTTAGAAGTGTCCGTGCTTCTTAGCTTTTAATCCTCCGTTAGATCAGATCTATCTCTTAAACAATCAGTCGCGCCTAGGCGAGAGCCTTGCACCTCTCTCGCCTGGTTCAAGTCGCTGCTAAGGCGCGCGACTTACTAACAGCGCCTCGCCTGGTACCTGTTCAGTCGCACTACCTGCGCCGCGCCTCGCCTCGCCTTGTGCCTAGGCGCGCTTTTCACAACACTGGGAGGGAGGCAATATGAAAAAACCTTAAAAACAAGGTTGGGATGTGGCGAGAATACACTAATAAAATATAATTATACATCAAAATCAATTATATTTTTTTTGGACAAATGCTTTAAGAATTCTGAGTGTTGTACTTAAAATAAGTAGGCTTTGAGTGAGGGCCAGGCTCGATTTAGGGTGCAGTCGAGTAAAACTAGGTTTTGTGTGAGGGTGAAAGCTCTATCACGATTAAGCTTGAGTACAACAGGATTGATTGAAGTTTGATTAATTGAGGTTGACATGTTTGTGCCAGGCGGAGGGTGGGGTTGAATAGTTCAAATTGTTTAACTTATTACCTTGTAATAGTCAGTTCATTTTGATTAGCCAATTCTAAAACATATGGATTAATCATATGACATCCACACAATATCCTTTTAAGAAGCTTTGGACATGGACACACAATACAACACGAATACACCAATATGATCATTTTCAAAAATAACATGATAGAACATGCGGGATAGTTTTAATATTTATTATATATGTCATATATATATGAATATATTATTTAAATATAGTAAAAAATGTAACATATCACATCCCTATAAATCTACATTTTTAAGATTAATGTATCCTAAGTTACTTTGTTTAAACTTATAATTAATTTTATGTGTATCTAAATAATAGACATGTGTGTCCTTCAATTGTTTGAAGCGTGTTCATGTCTAATTTAAAAAACGAAAAACCGTAATAGGACATGTTTGGATGAGTATTTGACATGTGTCGGAAGTGTCCGATGAGTGTAGGTATCCAACATGAACACAACAGGGGCACACTACCTTATTAGAAGTGTTCGTACTTCTTACAATACCATAGTTATGAAATAATAACATGAACAATATGATATACGTTGAAAACACTGGGACAACAGTCCCTGCAAGAAAAAATGACGGGCACCCTTGTCACGAGAGACAGTCCACTAATTCAAGAGTTAATATAAAGAAAGATAAGTAAAAGACTTATAACGCAACCCTGGATGTGCTTAGCTCTTCACTCATTGAATTCGCAAGCTCAATCCCCACTTGCAAGTGCACGTGTCTGCCTTTTCTTGTTTAGATCTCCACTTTTGGCAACTCTATTGCATTTGACTAGTTGGAAATAATAACCAAGGCACAGTAAATCTGATTTACAGGGCTATACCCATGTTGTTTTTAGAAAATCAATCAGAGAAGTTTTTGCAAATGAGTTTGGTCTTCTTTTTTGATATGTGTAGACTAGGTCTCATAGGTATTTAAGGTCTCCAGAGAGGTTAGGGCAGCTTATGAAATATTCTATATCTATAATTGGGAAAAAAAAGGAGCCTTTTTTTTTATATATAGTTTTTTCCAAGCCAGGTCATGCACAGATTCCAAAATCTGCCAGCGTGCTCAAGCGCACCTTAGTAGACTTCAATGATGCTGAAACATCGTCACCTGCTCATGCTCACTTCGAACGAGCTTCAAACACTTGAGCAGGCTTGGAATTGTACGCTCAATATATCCAAATGCTCCAAAATTTATCTGAATACCCCAATTTTGAAGCCATTAAGTACCCAACACATGAAGCTCTGAAAGGTGGGCAAACCAAAGTCATTTTATGCACTAAGAATGTGTCCTAAACTAATGATGTCTAGCAATAAATAGTATTATTGCAGCTTGGATAAGGCTTCATTAGACTTGAGTAAATTGTCTGACTGACAGGTTATTAAGAGAATTTTTCAATATTTTATTATATTTTTTCTTCTTTTGCAATCTTTAAAAAAATAACACCATTATAAATAGTATGAAGTTATTACTGTGTTTCTAAAGGTTTCTACTTGCACGTTGGACCCATGAAATTAATTTCATTACCTCATTTGTAAAGTAATTTGTTAGATTGACAACACGAGCCTTGTGATTGAATTAGTCAAACCTTGTGTGAATGATGTAGAGAAATGTTACTGGGACATCAAACTGGTTATGTGATTTTAAGTTCGGATTTTTGCTAGAGAGAGATCATGAACTAGAGAAATGCGCTTCCTGTGGAAGATTTAAAAAAATCCTGACTAAAGTTAAATTAATTATGTGGAGTATAATAGGGTACTTTTGGTATTTCTGTGGACCTGCGGTGACAACACAATCTTTTGTGGTGGGACCATGGTTGGGGATATTTAACAATGGATTCTTCCTTTATACTCGAAATATCACAAGTAGGGTTATGACCAACTACATGGTGATTATTTCTATACTGCTGACTGAGTATAAACAATGGATTGCTCAGTGGTGTTCATTTCATGTTATATGTCTTTTGCTGGTGACATTGTCAGACTGGATGCAGTCAGAGTGGGGTAAACTCTGAGTTCTCTGTTTGGGTGTTCAATTAGCAATGGAAGGCCTCAAGAAAATAAGGAGAAGTCCATCTATATTCTATATAATGTCTGATAATTGAACCAGGAAAGCAGGATTAGAAAGGGAAAACATTTACAGCTGTGTTATGCATGACTTAAAATCTCTGGCTTGTTCTGGTTTGCAACTTGTGGGAAGTCAACTTTCATGATCTTGGACTAGTGCCCATGTTGGGAGGGAAGAACAATACCCCGAGAACAGTAACTTTGCAGATTTTAGGGTTCTTGACTAGTTATTGATGTATAATTAAGCAAGGGATCGTTTAGGCTTGACCAGTGGAATGCTAAGGGTGAAAGAGAAGTATTTAAACCTGGTTCTAGGTTTTTCAAGGTTTAAAGTCACTGAAATTTGTGGTGAAAAAGAAGAAAAGACTGCACATCACACCTAATGTTTGATTGCATCACACAATCTGAAAGCAAGTTGGAAAAATCTAAAAATTCTCTGAACATTTATTGACTTAGAGCCACTACATTGCTTTATATAAACTTTGGAGATTGACTTCACCGAATAGGATTAGAATTCCTAAATAGGAAACTAAACTTTTTTTTTTACTTGTAAAACCTATCTAAGAGCAAACAAGATCCACAAATAAAATCCAATTAAATAACTTAATTTGCAAGATGGAGCAGACCATACATATTCAGGAAATTCTGAAATTACCAGAATACCCCATCGTATAAGTAAAAATTATCAAAATACCCCAAGTAAAAACTTTATAAAACATAACTAAATCTCTTTGCATTATACTAGACTTAAAACTAGACGCAAGAAGACTCTTCTTGATACTAAAATTCAATTATGGGAGTCCCACGCGGGCCCCTACTTAAAACTACCGAGCTTCCAAATTTTGCTACCTTTTTATATTTACTTATTTTTAGCACCATCATAGGGCGTGGAACTTGTCTTACAATTTGGGAAAGTTTTCATCCATGCAGATTCATGCTTTCTGGGCCTTCTTATATTGTAGTTGTAGGGCCAATGTGTTCATTTTTTATTTTTATTTGTATTTTTTTGTGATCTATTAGATTTTTTTGTTTGGGCTAGGCCTTTCTTCCTATCATGGTGAATTTCTATAGTTACCTACAGACAAACAGTAAATTAAATTTATGTACATTCTTATGATAATTCTAACTTTTTATTTTTTTATTTTAACTTAACAAAAAAACTTTTAGGCCAATCATGTTCATGGTGTTCCAATTGCTCCGTCATCCCTACTTGGGATGCCTACCTACCTTCCACATGGACAGGTGACTGCTCTGCATCCATTTATTATGCATCAACAGGGAGTTCCCCACTCTCTGCCATCACATGTTACTCAATCTCATGTTGGTCATTTTCATTCGGTGCCCCCACTTTCTCCATCCCTTCAACATTGGCAGAACCAGCAGGTACAAGCAAGTGGAAACATTTTTTTTCCTCATTGGTCATGTAACCCATGGAATTGTAGTTTTGAGCATACTCTCTCTCTTTCTGCAGGCTTCATCACAGGATTCACAGGTGCCAACTCACAACCAATATCCTCCATCACAAACTGATCAGAGCTTGTTGAGATCAGATACCAATTTTGACCATGAAGTTTCTGTAAATGGGCAAGCCATTCATTCAGACTATTTGGATGTTCGTGTCAGCCAAGAAATGGAGCCTGATGCTGTGATCCCATCATCAGCTGAGGAAGGACAGGTTGCGTACACAAAATGTTATTCCTTAGAATGATGCATTACCAATGTTTTATTTCATATGCTCTTTCTTATTGATCCATCAAAACTCTTTTCAGGTTCTTGAGCAGGTTGATAAAAGCTACCTGGTAGCCCCACAACCGGAGCAGAGCTTGCAACATATTTCTTCCCAATTTCATGATGCTTTAAGACTTGACCCTCTTCCACAAAATAACGAGACCAAGGTTTGTCTTTTATTTATTTAAATATTGGGTGACCAAGGTTCGTCATTGTCTCTGCACTAGTTCTGTTTGCTTGGGATCATCGCAGTTCTGTCTTAAATGGCTAGGAAATTGTCAGATACTCAGCTAAGTCTTGAATTTCAACTGACACAGGATAGGACACTTACTGCTTTGACTAAGCATGGACTGGAGGGTCAAGGGTTCAATACCGAACAATCAAGTTCTCCCGCCAATGCACCATCATCTGAAACTCCAATCGATCATGTGAATTTCAGTGAAATCTCAATGAAAGCCACTGGTGCCGTTTCATCTGAAGCATCTGTCTCATCTGGGCTGAAAAATACACATGCAGGAGGAAAGGCTTCAGAGATTGCTCTTCTTGATGAAAGATCATTGTTGGCTTGCATTGTTCGCACGTTACCACCTAGATCTGGTGGTAGAATCAGGATTAGCTCAACTGTTAGTGCAAATTAATTCTGTCTGTAGTGACTTTTAGCTTTCCACATTTGGGCTCATTGATTATTTTATTTTCTATGTCAATCACAGCTTCCAAACAGGCTTGGCAAAATGCTTGCACCTCTACATTGGCATGATTACAAGAAGAAGTACGGAAAGCTTGATGATTTTGTGGCTGGTCATCCTAAAGTAAAGCTCTATGATCTCTTCAGCCTATTTTCTCTACATTTCCTTTATGATTGATGACAGATGTATATTATAATGAGAGAACCTCGTTTTTCCATTTCAGTTATTTATAATTGAAGGGGACTATATACAACTTCGAGAGGGTGCACAAGAAATTATAGCTGCTACAGCAGCTGTTGCAAAAGTTGTAGCAGCAGCAGCAGCTAAAACAGCATCTTCTCCTCACTCATTGTTGTTGCCATCTGTTGCTGTTACTCCCATGGCACAATCTCACCGACTGAAGAGGGCGCCATCCATTGATTCCAATTCTGTGAAGTCTGAGAAGACCATTTTTAAGGAGTACGTAGATAATTCTTTACAGCTCCCAGTTCCGAATCATCATTCTAATGGTGTTTGTCTAAATGCTGGAGGTGTCTCAAATATTAAAATTTTGAGCAAACCGAAATATTCTCTGGAACTGAATGGCACTGAAAGTAGGCCTGGCCAGTCATCTGGACTTACGACAGTTGGAAATGGAGGAAATCTTCATAGGTCAGGTTTGGCCGGTTCTCTAAGCAAGGGATCAACTCATGGGAGGCCTAGTGTGAATTTTGTAGCGAAGCAGCAGGGCAGGTATTATCTAAGTACTTAGACAGCAGCTACACAGCACTCATCCTATGTTTAAGTTTGTAGGTTTGTAGGTACTATGCCTACTGTCAAGTATAAGACTATGAGTTTTGCTTTATTTATATGACAGGACAACTGCGGTTGCATCAACTTCTAGAAGATAGTAAGTTCTCTCGTTGCTGTATTGTGTTTTATCAAAAAGAATGTGTTCTATGATTTTATTTATTTTTTGGCTAGTGGTAATGACTCAATTAACTAAGGTAGAAGGTCAAATATTTCTTCTAAAGTATTTCGTAAGTAGCACATATATGAACATGTGACGCGATACGGATATGACATTGACATGCGGAAACGTCGATTTTCAAAAAATGCATGACAATATGCCTGGGACAGGTTTAAAAGTTATATTTTTATAAATTTATTATATGTAAAATAGATTAGTAGGTTATTCAGAGGTAATAATACTAATTTAAATTAAAAAGTTATATATTAAACATCAAAATATTATTCACGAAATAATTACAGTCTAATGAATGCAAAACAATTTTAAAATACAGAAATATAAATGTTTTACAACATATTTAGGGTGTATAAGCTGCATTCCAAAGAATATATAGAACATTGCTACTATGAAGAGATTCATCACATAGGTTGTGTTTGAAGGGTTCAAAAAGTTTTGCCAAAGTGTCTTAACATTATGAATTGTTTTTAATCAAGACAAGTTGAAGCGTTGGACACGCTGTTTAGAAGTGCCTGTAGAGTGTCATGTCTGACACGGGTGTCCGACACAACACACCTTCTCTATAGAAGTTTTTGTGCTTTTGCTTGTGATGGCTGACGACTCCTTGAAAGACCAATATTTTTGGGAGGTACGGAGTGCTTATATATATGATCACCTTTGAGTAGTAGTTACTAAAGTCATATTACCTTTTTATTCAAAGACTAGTTTGCTGGTTTCCGATGTCTATTCTACTACTGTTTTTGACCCCTTATTAATGAACTTGTGATCCTGTACTCATTAATTTATTGTGTAACAAAGGGTTATTCTACTTTTATGTTTTTTCTGTTATAATTTTTCTTTTCACATAAAAATACTCGTTCTGATTTAAAGTTTTTGTTCTTTTAATCATCACTAGTAATTTTTTCAATTGTTTGGTTTGGCACAGGATACAATTTGGACATCATATTGATCAAATCAATGTGCAACGGTGTGCAGGTCGGGGATAATGAGGGAGGGAGATTCTTTTAAGTTGGAATCTCTTGTTTTGGTATCTTCTGGTTGGTTCGAATACTTTTGTTGCCCTCCTCCCCTCTGCTCAATTCTTCTCTCTTCTTTTCTGCTAGAAGAATTGCTTATTTCTGCATGATTTTGTATTCTCAAAACTGTACATCCAGCTGCCTGGCGGCTGTGATATTCATATATGCTCAATTGCATCTGTGCAACAGGCAGCTTCACTTTTTTGTTTGTGGATTCTAAATTATTGGAAAAGATTATTGATTTCGAATTTGCCTGAAATCTCTGTTTTCTCTTTAAGTTTAGCCCAAGTTATGTAACCATCTGATGCTTTGAATGGTTGGTTTGCCTGCTCTCGTGGGTGATGACTGGGTTGAGTATATAAATTAACAAATCTTACAGCTAAATTTAGGGTTAATTACCCGTCAGTCCATTAGAGTGTCTCAAATGGACTTTTTACATGAGGCATTAGTTACTATAACTAGCATTACTATATTTTAATCACTCTAACAGGTTAGTTATTAAAATAACTATTTTAACAAAATTGTTTGAGGTTAAATACATTTAAAGAGTTCTGGGAGATTCTTTAAAGAGATAAGTAAAATAAAGATAGGTAAAATAAAGAGTAACGTTGAAATATATATATATATATATATATATAAAGAAATGGGCCAAGTAAAGAATTATCTTTTTTATATTTTAGTTAGTAAAAAATAAAGAGTATTGTTTGAGTTGTTTAGATGGAGACTTCAAATAAGTTCTGTTGATTTTGTGAATGGACCAACAATATCTATGTTGTCTTCATTAAATTCTTATCCATCCCATATTCTCTTCTACTCTCTCTCTCTCTCTCTCTCTCTCAAGTAAGTTCTATTGATTTTATGAATGGACCAATAACTCGTACAATATCTATGTTGTCTTCGTTAAATTCTTATCCATCTCATATTGTCTTCTATTCTCTCTCTTTGTCACTCGCTCGCTAGCTCTCTCTCCAAGAGTTTCCCACCCATTATTTTCAGCCACTATCACTGTCACTAATGCTGACCACCATTGGCCACCACCATTGTTATTGTCCACTGTCACCATTCATTGGCTACTGCCACTAATCTAACACTCCACCATTTTGGAACAAGCACCATCGTTTACCAACCACCTCTACCATTGCCGATCTAGTTCTAGATTTACACCAATGTAGTTTTAATGGTGAAATCAATTTCAAATAACTCCAAACAATAGTGTTTTTCCAATTCTCGCCTCTCGTTTCTTCTGTCTCCTTATTTCTCAAAGCAGATCTATTGCAAATTTAATTAACAATGATAAATTTATTAGTCTACCTTGTTTTGTATATATGTATAGGAGGGGGGATGTCTTGCGAGTGAGTGAATAAGTCAAATTTAATATCTGTAATTTTTTTTACATATCACTTAGTGATATTTATCACTGAATGTTTCTTTGATTTGTGTGTGTGTGTGTGTTGATCTTGTATTGATCTATGACAATGAAGACTGATGTGAACATTTTTTTGGTAAAGATTTTATTTTCCCCTTCATCTATCTATTATCCTCCTCCTCCTTCTCTCTCTCTCTCACACACACACACTCTCTCTCTCTCTCTCTCTCTGTGTGTGTGTTGTTGCTACCAAATCTGAGTAGGTGGTGGCAGTAGTGATGTGGATTGGATGAACAATATTTTTGTTAGAAAATGGCCATAAAAATGTCGTCAAAAGTCTCTGAAGATTGGAGGTGGTTATTGGTAGTTAGAGACGGGGGTTGAAGGTGGCTGCCGACAATCATCACCGGAGATCAGAGGTTGTTGTCGGTGACCGAAGGTAATTGCTGGTAGCGATGGGTAATGACAGTAATATTATGGTTGATGTGGTGAATGAGATAAGGTGAGGTGAGGGCATTTTTTGGATATTAATAATTGAAAAAAGAAATAGGACTTATAAGTAAATAAATTCGGTCAATAGGACTTGCTCATAAGTGTCCCTTAAATTTATTTATGTGGTCTAGTTTTAAATAGTAACATATCATTACTGACTCGCGTAGAATATGAAAATTATTTTTGATATTTGTTATTATGTATCGTATTTTTTTATATTTTATTTTGGGTGTTTCTTGGGCTGCTAAACTGTTGAAAATATAATAATGATACAGGTAATCAATCATCTGCTATTGGAATGGAGTTAATAGTTCTATACCCTTTGATAGGGTTGGTAGATAGGGATGGCAATTAGAACCCGGCCCGACGGGGACCCAATCCCCCGACCTCGAATTGAGCGGTTATTCTCTGAAAAATACCCTCGACGGGCCGAGGATAGTATTAAAAACTGAATCCCCGATGATATTCGGGCCGGGGACGGGGATACATGTTTCAACCCCGGACCCGGCCCGACCCCGTCCCCGATCCCCGCCCCGGTTGCCCCCCGATGTAAAATTACTATTTTGCCCCCTTTATATATAATATATGTGTGAGTGTGTGTAGGGTTTGGGCTGTTGGCAGACGCAGAACACCCACACACAAACATCTTCTCCCCCTTTCTCTCACATACACGACCTCCGTTCCTCACCGCCTCTCCTTCACCGTTTTGGTAGGCAGCGGCTCCTCCCTCACCGCCGCTCCTCACCTCAGCTCCTCCTCTCTCCTTCACTGGCGGCTTCTTCTTCTCTCCCTCTCACGCTATCGTCTTTCTCTCATGGTATCTCCTTTTCTCTTTCTCTCTCTCTCTCTCCCTGGTTTGGTCGGCGACGGCTCCTCCCTTACCGTCGTTCCTCACCGCAGCTCCTCCTCTCTCTTTCTCACGGTATCTCATTGTCTCTCTCTCTCTCTCTCTCTCTCTCTCTCTCTCTCTCTGTCTCTATTTTTTTGATTTTGTTCTCTGTTTTTTTATTTTGTTTCAGATCTGAAAATGATGAAGATGAAGATGAACATGTTGATCTGTGTTGATGAAGGTTTTTGATTTTTTTATCTGTGTTTGATTTTTTGATCTGTTTGTTGATGAACATGTTGATCAAGGTTTTTGATTTTTTGATCTGTGTTTGATCTGTTTGTTGATCTGCTGTTGAAAATCTCTCTCTCTCTCTGTTTGTTGATGAACATGTTGATCAAGGTTTTTAATTTTTTGGTCGGGGAATTTCGGGGTCGGGGAAACCCGATCCCCGTTAGGGGACGGGGACGGGATCCCCAGACCCGCCCCGCCCCGTTGCCATTCCTATTGGTAGATTCTACTGAAGGTGGAATGGTTTCAGAATGATTTGCAGTTTTTTGTTTGAGGGGATGGTGTCTACAATCATTTTTTTTTTTTAAAGTTGTTTTTGAATTATGAATTTGTATAGATATTTAGAAAGAAAAATGAAAAAGTACTTTCTTTTTCTTTTTCCTTTACTTTTTTAAATTCCTATCTAAATTCATGATTCATACATTATTTAAATGTTAAGAAAAATGAAAAAGTGATTTTTTTTTCTCTTTATTTATTTTGAAAACCATCACTTTTTATTTTTTATTTTTATTTTTATTTTCTATAAGGAGCTCCATGTTTGCTTATGTGGATGAAGATTTTGAGCCCAACCCATGGTGTGTTAATTTGATTTGGATTTATGTTTGGATAAGATCCCCCTTTTATTTGCCCTCCAAAATAGGAGAAATTATTTAGTCAATACGATTTATAAGACGTCATATCTTCCTAATAATTCTTTCTAAACAAGATGCTCGCATGTCTTGGTGTGACTTTGCCTAAGCCAAAGAAAGATCCCCCAAAAAACAAACATTAGAAACATTCCTTTTGGATTGTACCTCTTTCCTCAAATAAAAGTGAATACAACCTGCATTTGCGTGTTGCCTAAAGATTGTGGGTGTGTTTGGTTTGTGTTTTGAAATATATTTTACAATTTTTTTAAAAAAAATTCTAAAATTACTTCTCTATCCATTACACATCAATCAATTATTTTTTCCCTCTTATCTCTCTTTCTTAATCATTTTTTTCCCTCACACACATCTACTCAATTATAACAAAATATCGAATCATCTAAACTCCAAAATTATTTTTAAAATATACAGCTAAATAAACCAAAAAAATTTGTAAACTCTCTTCCTAATTTTTTTTTGAAAATTTATCTCAAAACACAAACCAAACATAGTATCTTCTTCTATTGTATTTTTTTTTTTTTTGGATGGGTATGTGTGTGTGTGTGTTTTTTTTTTTTTTTTTTTTTGGATGGGTATGTGTGTGTGTGTGTAATAAAAAGATAATGTCAGTCCAATGCAATGCTAAAACCACCACTCTGGAATTTTAAGGAGAAAAAAAAAACAAATTATAGAGATGTGTCAATATGAGAACTTCCAAAGCACTATGACACCATCTATCGAGATAAACAAATGGCTGTAGACATTTGAGAGTTGAGAATCTCAATCCCCATTACCATGTCTGAAGCTGAGTGCCCTCTTCGATTGCCATCAGAACCAGTCTCTCGGGGGTTCGCCAAACTGCCTAAAGTGGCAAGTCCCATTTGCATGGCCTGATGATGTCTCATGCTCGTCTATCCCTGTTGGATGAGTTGCTATTGTTGGAGGAGAAATTGATGTCAAATTGTCCCAACTCCATTGCCCATTTCTAAATCCTTTCAAAAAAGTCTGCCCTTTCGAATAAGCCTTCAAAGGAAGCATGGTCAATACCACCACACTGTACGCATGGAAGTAGTACGACAACTTTCTTGATGCCATTATTAAAGTTAAGGCAAGATTCTCTAATGGCAGGTATCTTGTTTCGGCATCCAACAATGTCTTGCTTACATAATAGTAGGGCAAGTGTCGTATTCCTTCTACGCACGCCAGCACCACGCTGACTGCATGTTGGGAAACCGCAAGGTATAAACAGAGTTTCTCTCCAGGTACTGGCGTTACTAAAAGTGGCGGAGAAAAGAAGTACTCCTTCAAGCTTTCCAGAGCTCGGTCATATTCTTTGTCCCTCTCAAATTTCGCCTTTGAGGGCCTGGAATAATGGTCAACACCGGTTTGACAATTGACTTATGAATCTGTTTAGGGCGATAACTAGGCCCATCAAGTGTTGTAGTTCCTTGATTGTGTTTGGCCTTTCAAGCTCTTGAATGGCCTTGATTTGTGTTGGATTTGTTTCTATTCCGTGGTTGGTTACTAAGAAGCCAAGGAACTTGCCTGATCCTACGCCAAATGCACACTTGGACGCGTTTATCGGTAGCTTGTGAGTTTTCAAGATTGAAAACGTCTCAGCTAGGTCATTGAGATGGTCTAACTCATTTTTGCTCCTG